AGATTAATTAGATCGTTTTCGTCTACAGCCTAGGCCAAAACTGCATTATTTTCCACTTGGGACCAAATCTCATGGGACCTGAGCAAACGTCTAACTGAAAGATCCCATGACAATTTTCCCCAAAGATATGAGAAGTTAGGTATGCGTGGGTAATACAGCTGAATTTGTCTGGTTTGTCAACCTGTTTCAACTTTGTAAGAGTCTACAGGAAACCACATTAAAAATCTTACCGTCAGCTTATTGCATTTTCTTTTCTCATATTTCCTTTCTTGAAAAATGACTGTCTTAATCTTCTTAAAGTCCACGATAAAACATCTTGTAGTCGGTTAAATAAACAGCTGGCCAGCGTATTTTTTTGTTGTTGATTGAACTGATGAAATGCTATCCAAACATCACCTGTAAACAGCGAATTGAACAAAGTTTGTTTGAGGTTTGCTGTAATTACTGCAAAGACCGTTTTTGTTGTCGTAGCTAGCTATCGCGATGCGGATTCTTTCCCGAGAGCATTTCAAGCGAGGAATCGTTTTCAACGCATTATTTCATTGCGGATTGACGTTCATAGGAATCGCAATACTACAAGCTTGGCCGAATGAAGGCATCTCGCAGAGCAAAAACCTCACAGTCAAGTAGGTACCGGTATTTTCATAGGATACTCTTTCGAAAGCTAGAGGATATTATATGGCCGCTCGGAGATATACGAAATTTCTCTTCGAGTGTTTTCAACACGAGAAGAGAAATTTCGTATTTCCAAGCGACCATCTACTTTTCTTTTTATAATATAAAATTATCTTAATACACAACGACGTTTTTAAGGATTTTCCGAAGATTCTCTAAAAGTAGTCCGAAGGTAAGACGAACGTTTCCGGAAATTTCACCAAAAGTTTCGAACATTTCCGAAGGTTGCCGAAGATTGCCGGGCATCGCCAAGTACTTCCGAAGAAGATCCGAAGATGTTTCCATCATACACCAACACTTTTAAGTGCTAAGGGACAAAAATGATATCACACGTGTGGATAAAAATGATATCCTAACACGTAAAATTTCGGTTTTATTGATTTGGTACCACTCAAAATACGACTAAATATAGCGAAAGTTCTTAGTTATATCAAACGCTTTTTTTCTGTCAGTTTTGTATCTTTTCTCAATCGCTCACTCAGAAACATTGTCCAGGTACACCCTTTTCAGGAAACGTTTAACATTAAAGATGATAATATTAAATTTAAGCACCGAAAAATACATCCCTGATTAGGATATGTTTCTTTTTTACAACAGAAACTCGCCCTTTTTTACAGGCTTGATATCAAGAGGTACCCAACCGAAGTGTAATCGACAAATTTTTTACGAGGATATTGGTTGCAACGCAATGCTAACGCTGTTAATATACTGCAGCGTTACCATGGTTTCAAAGACTTTTTCAAAAACGGTTTCAAGTACTATCTTCAAAATTAATTCAGAGCCAATATTTTACGGCCTTTCCTATATGTTTATACTAATAAATTCAACATGCCAGGGCCAAAAAATTAAAAGTTCTATAGTCCTAAGTTACTTACTGTCAGTTGTCGTGTTTATTGTTCTAGAGGATCTGTTACAAAGTACGTAAATCG